GCTAAATAAATACTTGAGTAACTGAATTACGGTAATATAAATTAATGAACAAATATCAAGATGAGTTTTATTTCAGATTAATTTTGCCTCACCCCCAATAATTCTTATTACCTCCAGTTTGAAATACAAATGCTCACGTCTTTTTTCTAATTTCTTCTCTTTTCTTTTCTTCTCTTGCTCTCTGTTCTTGTTATTTTTTCTTATTACTCAACTACTTTTTCAAGTCTCTGTGACATTATTTACTCTATCCCATTCCGTTTCCTAAGAATTTGGTTTTGTTTCAGTGGATTCATAGCAACATCCTCTCCATTCATTTCCCTGCCTCTTTTCCCATCTTCACCACAGCTGCCAGAACTGCCTTTTTTCTTTCTAATACTCTTTCACCATCTCATTTCCCTTGTCAAGAACCATTTTCTCACATATTTAAGTAAATGCAAAGACTCACCTCTCTTCCCTAAAGTCTATTGTCATTTTCGATTTTGTACTATCACTGCAACGGCATTCGCTGCCATTTAGCTTTCCAGTCTTTGTAATTGTTTAAAAATCTAAACTAAATCCATTAAGCCATCTTTGACTTTAGGAAGATGATCAGAAGAACTCCTTGAATAATAGACATTTTCCCTTTTTACCATTGGTCTGCAAAATAAAACCTTATTAATCTAGAATTCCTTACTAAATAAGTGTAACATAGAAGAAGCAAAATTGAGTTATTCATTCTCTAAGGAAGAGTTTTGCACTGTATAAATAATGTGAATAAGATGATGTGGGGATGTTCATCCTACACAAGAAAATTCTCACTGACGTAAAGATTTGCACAGGAACAACAAGGTGCCAATTATAATTTTGTCCAAATCTTTTAATAAACTTGAAAGGATGTACAATCTTCCAACTCAGACATTTACGACTCTTTTTTTTTGTGGAAGTTAGTTGTTTGGAAGTCTGATTGTATCTTCCCACAAGAATCATAACATAAATATGGTTTTCTTTCTCAGCCCAATCAACAAAAGCCTATTTCTAATGTACCTAAAAATAATTCTTATAGTATAATAGAACCAGTATTGGTAATACCCTCCTAATGAAAAATCCATTGAAGGTTGGCGTTTGAGATTTTAGAAATGTAATTCTCATAATACCACCAGTCACAGAAAGTGTGGGTTTCCAGTGGAGTAGGTAGTCTCACTAAGGGGCATCTCTGGGTGACATGGTTATGACTCAGGGATGGGAAACTTCGGTTTGGGGACCTTGTTTGGAGAAAGCTTGTTTAGGTAGCAAACTTAGGTAGCTTAAGGGATCTTGTTTGGAGAAAGCTTGTTTAGGTAGCAAACTTTCTCTTCTTTGCTTCCTTAACTAGTTGCAAAAGGAGGTGGGGTGAGAAGGTAAAGAGAATGTTTTGCAATGTTCACACTCTTCCCTTTTCCTACAGTTAATAAATCCTAAGAAAACACAGGGGTGAGGAAAGAACAGGATCAGCAGGGAAGAAATGTAAATAAATTTGTTATATTAAATCATACATAGATAAATAACAACAAATGAGTTATGAAGAGTTCTGGCTCAGAAATTATATAAAATCAGGAAAACTATCCTAAACACGCCCGATCCCGTCTATCTTGGAAGCTAAGCAAGTTTGGGCCTGGTTAGTACTTAGATGGGAGACCACCTAGGAAGACCAGGTGATGTAGGCATTAAAAAAAAAAAAAAAAAAAAAAAAATAAGGGAAACTGAAAAAGTTTCCATTTTAAGAAAAAAGTGGATATCTTTTTAAGTCACCAAAAAGATTTTAAAAAAGGAAGACATACCCCAAATTATAAGTTCCTGTTATTATATATATTGTATATGAATAAAATCATTTTTAGTGATCCAAATAACAAAACATGGACATTTTAAGAGAAATCTGATAAAATAAACCTTTCAATCAATTAAAAAACCATTATAATTTTCTAATTTAAGTTTTAAATGTACACTGCTTGCTTTTACACTGTATGTACCTTATAGGTATGTAAGATTTAATATATAGTTTGTATAAATTTACTCAAGGAAAAAGTGGATTCATGGTAAGGTATTAATACTAAGATGTAATTATATGAAATACTATAAACTCTGCTGCACACATTGATAATCACGCCTCCTATACAGGTCATTTCTAAGTGCTCATATTTTCAGATAGATAAAATTTGTTCTTGGAGTTAAAAGCCTATTTAAGGTCCATTGTGTGTGTGTGTGTGTGTGTGTGTGTGTGTGTGTGTGTGTGTGTCCCAAGAGTACATTAGTGGCTGGGAAAATAATACATTACAATAGGTAACAGAGAAGATGAAAAACATAGATGGAAAGGAGCCTATATATAAAAATTCTTGTGTATGTTATAAAAATCCCAGAGCAAAGTTAATAATCAAGTACTAAATGAAGAACTTCATTAAGAAAGATTTAATTTAAAATCGAAAAATGGAAGTTTCTCTTGAAAAATATCATGATAATGATGCAGACATAAGAGGTAGGTCAGACTTTTCCTTAGGAACACAGCAATAAAACTCTGCCTATATTTTGTGCATTATTTTGCAGGGTATTTCTTGGCTTCACATTTCCCCTCATCCTTATCCTTCCTGAATTCATTGCTTTCAAGTGTCCACCAAAGGCAAACTGGTAGCCAAAAATGAAGGGAAATCAGAGCAAGCCCCCGTTTGAAAATGCCAGTCCTATCGTCCTCGAAAGTCTCCAAAATTTTCAAGTATAGGCAGTTAGACTTTATTTTTCAGAAGAGCCATAGCAAATATAAGACCTGCTGTGAAGGTATTTTGAACTGCCAATGACACACTTTCAAATCTTAGCTGCAGTGATCCAGAATATTCCTAGTTCTGTCCATTCTTGGTTCCTGCACTGGTTCATCATCTTTCTTCTGCTCATGATTCATTATGACCATGTTCTTCTTTTTACAGTTATTCTCTTTAACATCTCATTAACTAATATGCTTTTAATGTCTTTTTGCTCAATTTCCAAATCTTTATATCTATATCTTAATTTCTCACTCTTTGTTTTGTCTATGGGACACTTGCCCTCGGATGTTGTAGCAAATGTAGGTGTCAACTCATACCACCACTTTCTTCCAAGACAGTGCTAGAATATAGGTCTCATACGTCCCTATGGCTTTCTACATTCCTCTAGCAGCTGGAGTGAGCTAGACCTTCTCAAGACAAGTCAGAAGTGCCAGGGAGTTAACACCCCTCAACAATGAAGGAAGGGAAAGTAGTGGATAAATACATCAACTTCCCTGCCCCTCGGTGGGACGGTTCTGGAGCAAGCTCTTCACGGCTTCTTACAG